GTAAGAAGAACATGGTATAGAATACATACTACATACAAAATGTGTGCTGACTGTTTATGATGTTATAGGTAAGGCTCTTGGTTAACAGTAGGCTATGGGTATTAAGTCTTGGGGGAGTTTAAAGTCATCTTTGGATTTTTTACTCCGCAGGGGTTTGGCGCCCCCAACCCCTGCATTGTTCAAGGGCCAACCGTACACTGGCCCGTTGGGTCCTAGAGTAGCTCTGCTAGGGCTCTTCCCCAAGCCTTTGGAAGCAACGAAAGCACCAGATGACCTGGACACAGGCCTGTCTCCTCTTGCTGTAAGTAGATCCTTTCAACAAAATATTTAATAAGTGCCTACTATGTGCCATTTACAGATTGTCTTTTCAGTAATTATTTGGAAGGGGGTAAACATCTTTCCCCTGAGGAAATCTCCTAAGTCGTCACAGATGGGAGTGGGTGGGAACTTGGGAAGTTCCAAGAAACAGGCCGAGTGCGCTGTGCAGGAGGGTAACTGTGATGAGAAACTGCGAGTTCCCTCCTTGCTCACCTCGGAGAGATGATGCTGATTCCTTGAAGACGCTGTAGCTGTGCTGGGCCTCACCCCCATGTGCACACGCAGGCCTGCTCCATCGGCCTTCAATGCCTTCCCTCCCTCCTCTCTTCCTGTCTAGACCTGGCTACACCCTGCCCTTCCAGGCTTAGTTCATAAGCTTAGTTAAGCATCATCTCCTGCGACATCTTGCAAAGTTTTCCCTGACTACAGAAGCTCTCCGCGTCCCCACCCATGCCTGCAACCTTTGTGTTTCTTTGCACTCTGTGCATTTATTCCTTCACAGTAGATCTCAACACTGTGGGCTAATTTCTTGTCATTTCTATCCCTAACTGGGCTGAAATTTCCTTGAGGGCAACACCTGGGTCTTTCATTCTTACACTTAAGGTTTGAAAATCAATCCAGAGAAATAATCAGTATTGCTTCATTAATAAGAATCAAAACAAAGTTTCTCTTCGTGACTCTCCCACTTGAATTTTATTAATTAGTTCCTTCACTTTCTAATATTACAGAGTTTCACTGAAACATCTGTGATTATATCACAAGATGCTCTTATCAGCTATCAGCTTTAGCAAACCTCAAATTCACCCTTATTCCAGGATGTTCCTAAACCAACTACAGGCTCTGCCACTGTCTCCATAAGCTCCTCTGAGGAGCCTGTATTCATTCTGAGTCACCACTGGTTCCAGTTAATTGCCACAGTCTAATTCTCTCCATGCTTATCTTTTCCCTCCAGTTGGCCCAAGGATGTGTTCATGCCTCTGAAAAAAACAAGATTTACTTAACCTTGGCCCGTTCTGTATGGTGCTTCCACGTGGGTTAACAATCTTAAAAGATGAGTTGATTAGTGGCTGTGCTTATGAGGTGATTTTTTTCCCCCTAAATAGCCCATATTTAGACCCCCATAAATCAGAGAAGATGTGGGAAAATGGAATGTTTAGTAAAATAATAATAAATACAAAAACTGAAATATCCCCTTTCCCATTGGCTTTCTATAGCTCTTGAAATTCCCAGCACTTCCACACACTCAAGATGGCCAGGAGCCCATGAGTGAGCTGTGGATTAGACACAGTTCACCACCAGCAGCCTTTATCATCCTAACAGAAACCAGATCTACACCAGACCCCTTCAGAGGTAAAGAGTTTGTGACACTTCATTAATATTGCAGGGAAAAATGCTTTGTCAGAAGCTAACTCCTTGTTATCCTTTATCCCCCTTTTTAGTCTAGTAGAGACGGTGAACTTGGTAACAGGACTAGTCAATATCAATGGACAAAAATAATTATCACACCGGTTGTTTTATATTACGGTAACAACTTTTTGAGAGTGATAATGCTAATACTTCTTATTTCAGAATTGTTCCATCTTTTCCCAAAGAACAATGTTTACTTTAAAAATTTAATGCATTCAGAGAAACTCAGGAGGCTCTGAAAATAAAATGAATTTTCAAAAGAAGCCTAAAATTCAAAGTTGAAAATTTCTGGTAAAAACAAGACCTTCAATTGACTCAACTCATCCCTTTTCCATTGACTGTAAGATTTCCACCCATGCACATAGGTAAAAATAGTGGGGTGGTGGCCATTTATTTCTCAGATGCTTGGATTACTGTTCTCTTTAAATACATAAAAGTACTGAGATCAATGCTTAGTTTTAATAGGCAATATTCTTAAAAAATCTAAAGAAAGAAATGTTACTACAAGTACATTAACGTTGACTGGCTTGCTTCCCTAAACATTGAGAAAGGGATATTTTCTAGGATTAAATCTCCCTGTACAAGAAGCACAAGATTTTGTTTTCTTGTAAATCAGTATTAGAATCACTTAGTAGGTTGTTTCTTCCATAGCCATGATTTCAGCACAAGATTTCTTGATGATTTTTCATTAATCCACCCTTTCTGCTCCCAACTTTAAGATAGAAATTAACTAGGGCAAATTTCCTTCAGCTCTCTCTCTTGATAGTCACTGAATTAAACTATGCTTTAAATATATTTAACTCAGTTACACTGGAAGGGATGTTAGAGAACAACTAACCCAACTTTCATTTATAAGAAGAGTCCTAGGAAAGTGGAATAACCTGCTCATGGAGGCAAATTTAGACAATGGCAACAGTGAGTCTGCTCACTGCCCCTTAACCAGGGCTGCTTCCATTATGATAAATCACACACTAATCAGATTTTTGTAAACTGAATTCTATTTCCAGTGCAACAGGAAAGTTCAGTTTAATCCTTCAGCAGAGCTTTCCATTATGAACAGCTTTCCTTCATGGTGCTTTTTATTTTATATGGATTTTTAAATATCTTTAATCAGTGAGGCATACCCATGTTTCTCTTATAGGTTGGAGAGGAGAAATGAAGAGGTGAAGAATTTGTGGGAAGAGGGAGTAAGAGACAAAGAGTACAGCCAGGGAAGGCGGACTGGGAAGCATTTATTTGAGTATCATTTTTCCCTTGGAATAAACAGTCTTAGATGCTTTCCATGAGTGGGTGTTAGCAGCTTCACAGCCTCACATTCCATTTCCCCAAGGCAGCATTGTAATAGGAAATATGATTCTATCTGAAATGGTAACAGATTACGGAAAAAAAATAAAATAGGACACGATAATTGCAGGATGCTAACCACATGCCAGTAAATTAAAAAGTTCAGGCGATCTATACAAAAAAAGCTTGTTCCTCGGCCACTCTATAATACTCTCCATGAACATTAGTTATACCCCGGAGCATAACAATTTACTGTGCAGTGTTAATGTTTGATAATGAGTCAGATATAAAACAGGAATAGGGATCAATGAAAGAAATGTTTCATCCATGTATTTCAATATACATTATGGATATTTACGGCAACATATAGGGAGAAGTTAGCAACAATGCCAAATTTTCAACACTCATCGATTATTCACTAAATGCCAGGCAGTGTGTCACAGGATCCTAAAATGCCTGACAGACTGATGCCACCATCATTCTTGAGTCAACTGCTCACCAATTAATAAAATAAGATTTACCTGTCACATGAAAATACTTAACAATTCGGAACAGCAAGTGTGCTAAAGACACCTGTTAAGGTTGTAAAAGGCAAACTGCAATTCTCAAGAGTTACAAACATGGAAGAAGAAATAATTTTGCATCATCTCACATTCAAGGGAATTAGGATGTCTTCTATCTCCCTGCATTCTCTCTGCTTTTGAGGCTTTCCATGAAAAGAGGGACAGGCTGACCATAAAACACAGCATCCAAAACTACAACTTGGCCTCCTCCACACGTGGCTCAATGGCCAATATCATCCCTCCAGTTACAACCTAACTACTATTACCGAACCACTAGTAGTTTCTTTTGTGTGTCTCTTAAAAATAACCCGTGCTATTGACAAGGATAAGAGTAGGTTTTATTTTCGGTCATTGGCAGTATTAACGGACACACATTCCTTTGCTGCAATGTTATCTCTTTATAATAGTCATTTTGAGGTCATTCTAAGGTAAAAGTCATCAAAAAGAAGAACTGAGCTTGTAAGTGGCAGAAGTCACAGATGACCTCTTAGGGAAACGGTGCCCACACCTGCACCTTTAGGGATGGAGTTAGGTTGTACAAAGCTCACCGTTTTTTCCTTAAATAATAAAGATTCGAACAAACTTTAATCAAATCCATTCTTAAGCAATGAGCAGAGGAGAAACATCCCTACTTTTCTGCGTCATTGAGGATTGCTGGGTTCCCCTTTCTAAGAAGGCAGGTGTTCTATTTAATTAGCTTAGATACTTAGGATTCCTTCCAGAAAACTGTCCAGCTTAAGGATAGCCAGGGGGCCTCAGAGGTATTTCTCCATTTACCTAGAAAAGAATGCTAGCTAATAAATAATGTCTGTATCCTAAGGGCTTTCTTTTTTCCAGCAATCCAGCTACTTCTATCTAACAGGATCAAGATACAAAGAACAATGAGAAATCCCCTCTGCCTCACTGCAAACCTGTCTTGTCTCCCAGCCCATGAGCACACACACACAGGTTAACAGTAATTCATTCACTCCTCAAAACCAGCCTATGAGGTAGATGCTCTTAGTTTCTCCGTTTTACAGATAAGGAAACTGAGATACAGAAAGATTAGATCAATCGCCCAACACCACACAAATTGTAGGTAGCGGAGCCAGGACTCAAAACCCAGGCAGTCGGATGCTGGAATCCGGGCTCTTGGCCGCACACTTCTGACACTGGGCGGGCACCTGCACAGGAGAGGCGCCTCCTTGCAGGAGAGGATGTTCCCGACCTTAAATGATGCATGAAACACCCCACGCTGGATCTCACGTAATGAAGCTCGGATCTCTCAAAACCCCTGCGATGTTAACAGAGAGGAGACCTTCTCCGGTCTATAATCAAGCACCTGTTTCACCACCAGCTACAGTGGCCGTCTGTTGCCTCTGGGCATCCTCCCCTGAGCCAAGATGCTCCGTATCTCCACCTCTTAAGCCAAAATAACTGGGTTCTCACCTTTCCAGGCATGAATGGGGCAAAGCTGCAAGTCCTTTGCACATTTTGGCAAGTGGCTTAGCTCCTCAGTTTTGAGCAAAAATTCGTAACAGCAGAGCGACTCTGAAAACTTGAGAACTGTCCTGGTCGGCCTCCGCCTCGGAGGCGTATATAGCGGCTCCGGCCCAGCCCCGTCTCCCTCCGGACCAATCCCGAGCCTCGGAGGCCCCGGCGGGCGGGGAGCGGGGGGCCCTTCCCTGCAGCTGCAGCCCGGCGACCCCAGCGGCTCCCAGCCCGCCGCTCCCGTCCCGCCGGCGCCCCTGGCCGCGCAGGGCGCCCCGTGTGCACCCCGCAGCCTCTGGCCGGCCGCGGTGCAGGCACGGAAGCCCGGTGCCCGGGGACGGCTCCCGGCCCGGCCCAGGCATAGGGTGTCAGGGCTGCGAGGGCCCCTGGGGGGCACTTTGCCCACCTTGCTTCTCAGTGCGGGGGACTGAGGTTAGCGAAGTCCAGGGGATGGGCGCCAGTACCTCCCACCCGCCAGGCACGCAGCTGCGCGCCCGGAATTCAGAGAAAGCCACCCTCCCCCCCACCTCTGAACCCCAAACATCGTATCAGTACCGTGTAGGTGTGCAAGAAGCAAGCCACCGAGGGGTGCCAGGATGCTGTGAGCTTTCAGGGCCGCCAGAGAAGGTTTGGGGGAGGAAGTAACCCCTGAGCTGAGTGATGGGAGACACAAAACACCTCACACAATTCTAACCACTAGTTTTACGGCCCCACCGGCAACCCAACAAGTTCCCCTAATTCTCTAAATGCCTTCTGACTGTTCTTTACTAGATTAGGCAATTCTTTGCCCTCCTCCCAGCTCCCCCCACAACCCACCCAACCCCACTCCAACCCTTGCGGCCCACCCCCATCCTGGACGGGCTTGTCTTCCCTTCCCCTTCAAACTTTTCCTGCCTCCTATCACCCAAGGATTATTTCCACCATAAATACACCTGATCTGTGTTTCATCCTATGGGGACCCGAGGGGCTGGTCAATTAACATGTAAATGAAAATGCCTAAGGGGTTGGCAGGAGTCCAGGCTAAAATTACGCCACATTGAATAATCTGGAAGAAAAAGCTCTAAATTTGTAATTAAAGATGATTCTCATAATGTTCCCTGTTACCTGTAATCATTTGTTTTAAAATGTTGATGGGGGCCTGTTATTGGCTTATAAAGTCAATATAGTGTATTAAGACCTGATGTTCTGAATTAAATAAATAGGATATAATAGACAAATACCCAAGGCCCTGCATGAAAGAATTAGGGATTGTTTTCTGTAATTTTTGCTTTACTTACCAATATGTATGTGTGTCATTAGATAAATTGTATTTCTTACTCAAAGTCTTAATAGAAAAACATGGAAGCCGCAGCTCTGTGCCACACATTTGTCCCCAAAGAGCCCCGTCATATCCACCTTTGTACCCTGATGCTGTTCTTCACCCCAGCAAACCAATGAATCTGAGTGATGGAAGCCTTAGCGTCCATAGAGACGAGAACGCTGCTGTTCTCATAGTGGGAATATAAAACTGGCAGAGAAGACTCCTCGGGCAAGACCCTAATTTACTGATTGGTACCCACGAGGCCTAGAAGAGAGAGTAACAGAGATCAAGCCCACGTTAACGTAGAGCCGTGCAGGGTGATGGGGTGATGCGTCTCGGCCAGGGCTGAGTTCAAAGCAGGTGTCTGACCGTCCCAGAGAGTTCATGTGATGGGTACTCTTCAGGAATCAAAATGATCTCACCATACTAAGAGATGGACTAGCAAAAGAGTGCAAAGTGCAGTCAGTGCAAAGGAATATTAACCCAGCACAGATTTGTTTTCAAAAGCTTTGTAAAGATGGGAAAGCAGGAGAGCATGTAAAAGAGCTCATTGTATTAGAGTTCTCCGGAGAAACAAAACACACTTATGAGTGCATATATGTATATTTATGCATATATATACTTATATTTATATATGCATATATATTTATATGTATATGTATATATATAAATCAAAACACATAATTACTCTATACCTGTTATGAATCCAATGTATGTGAAGATATTTAAAATGATCTGACCTCTGATCTTTTATATATATATATATATGTATAATTTTATAAATATATATGTATATAAAATAATATACATATATAAAATATATATATGGAAGATTTAACACTCTTGATAAAAACTTAGGACATTTGATATATCCTTAACAAGAATGTGTGTGTGTGTGTGTGTGTATATATATATATGTGTGTGTGTATGCATGTATGTATCCAACATGCACATATGCACATATACATTACATTTCATTTCAACTTTGTGTATACTATATATGTATATATGCAAAGAAAAAATATATATACACATGTATATATGTAATATACACATGTATGTATATATTATACACACACACACACACAAACACACACACAAAGGAAATTACAGATCTAGTTTTAAAATCAGTGTCTTATTCAATAAGAAACACTAGAAAATTTCCACTAAAATCAGGAATAAGGCCAAAGACTGGTCTTCCCAATATTGTACTAGGGGTATTAGTGATGTAACTACAGGCATAAGAATTGGTAAAGAAAAAGAAAAACCACCTCCGTTTGTGGAAGACATGACAGCAGTGCCTCAAATACCCTAGGAAATCATGATAAAACTAACCCAAATGATTTAAAAAATCATTAAGGTATCATAATATATAATGAACAGTACATCAACTAGAGAACATAATGATAGAGAAAATCCCATTTACAACAGAAGGAAAGGAAAATTAAATAGGGACAAACTTAACAAGGAATGTATAAAACCCATACAAGAAAAATTTTCAAACACTGCTGGCAGACACCAAAGTTGACTCAAATAAATGGAAAGACATGCTTCTCCTTGGATAATACGACTCAGCATTTAAAAGATGTCAGTTCTCCTTAAATTAATTTATAAATTCAACACAACCCTCCTAAAAATTCCAGCAAGCTTTTTTTATGGAATTAGACAACTTGATATTAAAGTTCAATTTGCAAAGAATAAACATGCATGAATACCAGGACATTAAACACACTATGGCATTTGCACAATTAAAGCCATGTAGTGCTGGTATATGAATAGACAAATATACTGGAAAAACAGAATAGCTCAGAGATAGACCCAAGGACACATGAACATTTAGTGGATGATAAAGATATCTCAAAACACTGAGATCACAAAAGACATAATAAATGGTGCTGGGACAACTGGTCTGCCATTTTGAAGATGAAATTAGATGCACACCTCATATTCAAGAGGACGCTTCAAGTGAATTGAAGACCTAAACATACAAAATGAAACCCTACAGTACTAGGAGAAACATGTCTGGATTCCTCTCTAACCTCAGTGTAAGGGAAAGGCTTGCCAAACATGACTCAAAATCTGAAGACAATAAAGGAAAAGATGGGTACATTTGACTGCATGAAAAAAGAAGTCATGACAAGAATCCCGAAACAGAGTCAAAAGAAAACTGGGAGAAAACTAGGAGCACGTATCACAAAGGGCTAATATTATCCCCAATATGTAATGAATTTTTAATAACTGAGGGGCAAAAGGGCAAAGGCCAATAGAAAAATATAAGGAAAATATTGGTCGTTGCTTTTCAGAAGTATCAGCCATGAGAAGCAAAGGAAAGTGAGATGCCCTCATAGACTGGAGGAGCCGAAGAGGCGCAGGGCCCCGTGGGATCCTGGCCTGGATCTAGGATTCGGGAAAGGACATCAGCAGGACAACTGGTACAATTCAAAGAAGGTCTGTAAGTTAGTTAATGGCATTTTATCCATGTTAAATTCCTGATTTGAATCACTGTGCTTGGTCATGTAAGTATTTAACATTAAAAGGAAGTTGGGTGATGAGTATACAGGAAGTCCAGAATTTTGTGACTTTTTCATGAACCCAAAGTAATTTAAAAATTAAAAATTAAAAAAATAAGTGCTTATATTTTCTCATATTAATCCAGTGCTTTGCAAACATATCCTCTTATGTTGTAGCTTATTATTTTACCTTGTTGGTATATTTTGGTCTAGTCAAATTTACCTAGCTATTCCTTTATGATATGAAGTTTTTGCTTGTACATAAAAAAGTTTACACTACAACAAACTCATAAAGATATTCTCCCATATTTTTGCTTAATAATTTGATTTTTGTCTTTTACAATTAAAGCAATTCAGTTCCCTTGAAACCAATTTTTGTTTATAGAATAAGATGGAGAAGTGTTAGTCTATTTTTGCTATATGGAGAATTATTTTCCCAACCTTATTTATTTTAGAATATCTTCACAATTGACCTGTGGTACCACCTTTACTATAAATCATGTTTCCACATATACTTAGTCTGTTCTCTTCTATCGCACCGCTTTAGTTGCTCCTATCCCTATACCAATGCCACACAGTTTTGTTTATTATATATTTGTAATATATTGAAAACTGGTAGGGTCACCAAATTTTTTTTTTACCTTTTTCAAGATTGTTCAAACTGCCCACATACATAATAATTTGTTCACATAAATTTTAGGATCAGAAGTTCTTCTAAAAATCTTGTTGAGATTTTGATTCCAGGCACATTGATTTAGATTACTTTGTAGAGGATTGACATCAGTAAGTCAGTTTATATCAATTTCCACAATGATGAGTCCTACCTGTAAAGTTGAAATAACTCCCTTTTATTTCAATCTTCTTTATGCCCTTCGGTAAAGCTTAATAAATTCTTAATACATACTTCAGGTAGTTTTGTCCCTTGATACAACATGTTTTTAAAATTGTAATTTTAACTAGATCGGAGAAAAAAGCCTTTATGAAAATAAGAAAACATTTTGAAAGAATATAAAGGAGTATCTGCCTTTTTCCTTGTTTCTATTTCATAGAATAGTTTGTGTAAAAGAAAGACTATCTGTTCAGTAAATTTTAGTAAGTAACTTGAAAAATTAATTGGATCTGATGGTTTTTAAAAGAGCATGTTTTAGATTACCACTTTAATTTCACTAACAGCTATTATTTAATTTAATTTTATATTTTTTCTTGGGTCAGTTTTGGCAATTTGCATTTTCTGGAAAATTGTCTACGTCAATGAGGTGTCCAGGTTTCTACTTACATCTCCAGATTTTTTAAAAAATC